TGGGGATGTACGGTCCAGCGGGGCCTGCCTTTTCTCTCTATCTTCTGAGGCCCAAAGAAGCCGAAACCCTGCAGGGGGAAAAGGGTTGTCAAAAAGAAGCCGAAACCCTGCTCCGTAAGCCCAAACTTCAGACCTAAATCCTAAGGCCTTGCTGCTTTGTGCATCCCAGCGAAGCCCTATATGCATGAGCAATGTGGAGGCTTCAGCCAAACTGGAAATGCCGTTAATTGAGAGATGCTTCGCAAGTAGATCAACTTGCCGAAATAAGAGAGTCTGAACCTCTTAGTTTCTTGGTGTGCCGTGAGTGTGGGTATGTTGTGAACTCTTGGGTTCATGGCATCACTGTGGGGCCTTTTTGCAGGACTTTCGGGTTGGGGGAGTCTTAGATTTGGGGTCTAGGCTTGAGGGTTTAGGGTTTGGGGTCATGAAACGACGTAACGAGGGCGTCTGAGCTAGTTGTCAGAGTTTTTGCACCTCGGGTTGGCATTTTGCACCTTGGGTTCGCAGCGTACATCTCCCAGGTTGCAGGGTTTAAGGGTTTAGGGAATAGGGCTTCAACAGGCTGTAGGCTCCGACGCTTTTGGAGTTCCAGGCTAAGGATGCGATGTGCCCCATAAACCTTGAACCCTGAATTCAGAAGCCCTGACCCATAACCCAAAGCCTTGAGCCCGGGACCCTGTGAGGCTGTGGTTCGCAGAGTGCGCACATTTTTCAGCTTGATGGCGATGGCTTCCGGAAGGCAACCCACTCATCCGAGCGGCTTCGGATTCGGAGTGAGTTGATGGCCCCCTATGCGCAGCCACAACAGTAGTGGGAAACATGTTCGTAGTAAAAAAAGATGATCCCTTGAATCTAACGATGAAGTCCGTGACGGATTGGGTGGGAGGGTGCACGGCTTCAGGCTTAGGAACACTGGCTTCGCGAGTCGGCAATTGCAAAAGCAAGGTTCTGCATTGACCCAGGGTCGGGTAGGTAGCGCTGGGCCGGCTCTAGGTAGGCTTCCGGATTTGTTCTCCAGGGTTTAGGGGGCTCAGGGACATGCATGCAGTTTGAGAGGCCATCGCGGAGCTGTCCGTAGTGTCTTCATTCCTGCATGATTCTGAAGCCTCCAGACAAGGCCTTAACACATATATATATATATATATGTATATATATATGTACGTATATATACGTATATATATCTATATATATATATATGCTTGGCAGCTAAACCTGGAGCCTGAATCATTCCAAGCCTAAGGAAGCCCTACACCTGCACTCTCAAGTCCTAGACCACCCTAAACTCACAGCAGTAGCTGGTGGTATAAAGTTCCGGAAGTCGCCGATCCTCGAACCCGCAATGTGTGCTGGGGCATGCTGTCCAACACCACGATCCTCAGTCCCAACATGTGCCCGAAGATTTAACTACCTTAAAGAAAGTATATCGGGGGTCATGAAAAACCGACCGGCCCCAGATCCTGTACGTCCGAACCACCCCTCCACCCCAGACCCTCAACCTTTTCGTTGGGGATGCGGAGAGGGATGGCAGCTTCATACCAATGTCGGAGACCTCCAGATTGCACTAGGTGATTGCCCGGAGCACCCACATGGATCTCTTCGCCCTCTATGCTCGGCTCTTTGTGAAAATGATCTCCGACTGCTACAACTGCATTGAGGCAGGGACTGGAACAACTAAATCTTAAAGCCTTAAACCCTAGGCGACCTCTTTGAATCTTTCAGAACATCTTCTCCACCGTTCCGGTCCGCAGGATGGGTCGTCGAGAATACGATATACCCAACAGACCCTGCAAAGTATTACTTGTTGTTGGCTACCTTGTTTTCCGATCATAAGACCCTAACCTTAGTATAGGTTATCCAGCAAAGATCCTACCTCCTGAGGTTTTGGAATTAGCCAAGAGAATCAACATACATGCCAAACCGGACGTACTAGCTCTGCAACAGCAACTGTCTTCAACCTTTTTGCAACACTTGACGATGAATGTCATTCTCATTACTCGTAGTCAGAGTAGAAAGAGATCCACATGGGATGCAGCAACAGTCCTGACCAACGAAGGGCTTTGTTCGAAGATTTCCGAAGTTTGGAGCCCCAAAGTCCGCTAAGCCCCAACACCACCCTAAACAACTCGAAGCAAACCGGGTCGCCCCGACCCCTCCCTCAAGTGTCCCTCCGCCGCCCCCCACCAACCCACCCAAAACGAACCAACGCCTGCACCACAAACACACAGAGAGAGAGAGAGAGAGAGAGATATATATATATATATACATACACGCGCGAAATGTACGAGGGCCGCCGCGAAGTTTAGTTTTTAGGGTCCAGGGTCTGGGATTAGGGTTTCGTGTTCAGGGAGGATCGGACTGATGCAGGAATTGCCAATGGCTTTTTCTGCTGGGTTTCTCTTCACAGCTTGAGGTCTCGAGTCTGGCCGGGGTTTGGCATGGATCTGCCCCGGGGCTATGCACAGTGCCCATTGCATAATTACCCTAAACCCAAAACCCTAAACCCTAAAGCCTAAAACCTGAATAGTAATAGGCTTTTGTAGACCTCCAATCAAACCGTCTCGAGGAAGAAGCAACGGATCTGTTCGGCGATGATGAGCAGGTCAGCAAGATGTTACGATCCTCGGCGTGGTTTAGGGCTCACGGTTGAGGCTACGGCTTCAGGTTTCGGGGTGTAACCATCCTTTTTCTTTGGATTTTGCGGCTGTGGCCACATTGTATGGCGCCTTTCAGAAACCATTCTCTTGGCCGAATTAGCACCCTTGGACGTCTAGCGTTTCTATAGGCAGGACAAGCGAGTATGGAGGTCTGTAAGCAGTAGTCTTAGTCTAACTATTGTTTGCTCTAGGCTCTTTATATTGCCTTCTGGGCCCTATACAGCTTGCTTTTTGGTCCCTATACACCAAACCCTAAACTGTAGGCACCAGGCACCCTCAACCTCCAACCCCTCATCCTAAAGCTGTGAACTGTAACTCCAAGCCCTACAGAGTGAATCCCTGAAACCCGAAATCCCCAAACATCCCCAGCAGCTCTCTAAACCCAAAGCGGCTTTAGATGAAAAGCAGTCCCAGACCTTGAGTCTTAAATCCCTACAGCCCGAATGCCGTGAGCATGAGGGCTTTTTGAGTGAGGTCTTTCCAGCTTACTGACTGCTGGGAATGACTCGGTGGACATTCGCGCCGTCTTCCTGGCCTGGAAGGTGCCGGGGAAAGAAATGGAGATTCGTAACCTGGTGATCTGAACGAACAGCTAACCTTGAAACCCAGGGCAAAACGATGCAGCAGGCCGTATCGTAGCAGACCTTTTTGCCAAAAACGGTCGCCTCGCCGTGACGAGTCATACTTAGAGGTTTGGGTTGAGGGTTTACCCATAGGCCCCGAAGTAGTTCCTTTTTGTGGTTCATATTTATAATCCTGTAAGGTAATCCCAAAAAGGAACTACTTAGGGGCCTATGGGTAGACGGTTTAGGGTTTAGGGTTTGACTTTAATTTTCATGTTCATTGTGTAAAAAACTTGGTGTTCAGGTTTTGTGTACGGACCGTGTCAGGGCTCGTCCCCCCCCCCGCTCCTGCAGCAGCAATTCTTCAATCCACCGTCCTCTCGCAGAATCTAGCCTTAAACTCCACCCTATACTCTCCATCCCAAATCCTCGTCCCTAAACCCTAAACCGTATATCCTCAACCCGAAACCCTACACCCTAAACCCTAAACCCTCGACCCGAAGCCTGTGTCAGTTTTTTGTGTTGGCACTACGGGCTCCTACTCGGACCCACACCCCTAAGACTGAAGCGACGACTTCCCAAGAGCCAAATGTGCTAGGGTTTAGGGTATAGGGTTTAGAGTGTAGGGTTTAGGGTCTAGGGTTTAGAGTTTAGGGTTTAGGGTTTAGAGTTTAGGGTCTAGGGTTAATAAACCCTAGACCCTGAACCTTATAACATCTTAGAGTATATGAAGTACACAACCCCTAGAAGCAAGAAGCGTGACCTCGTGGTCTTTGACATCTTGACAGCCCCTAGATTCAGGGAGCTTTGTCTCATGCAAGGACTGTTGCGTGAGCTGACGTTTACCTGCTCTGCGTAGTTTCACAATCAAACAGTCAGAAAAGATGCTTGCTGGGTCTTCGAATCTGTTCTAGGCCATTCTATTTCTACCATCCAGAATGAGCCTTAAAGCCCAAACACAACCCGAAACCTTATACCCCAGGGAGAGGCAGCAGCCGCACAGCTCCCTTTGCGTGCCTTGGCCAAGAAGCACCACACTCGGAGCTACTGAGTTAAGGGATTTCGGACACGGGTTAAGGGTTACCTGTTGCGTGTAGGGTGAAAAAAGAGATCACAAGAAGGGGGGGAGCACATATAGCATTCTGCAGCAAGGTGGGGTTAAGTTTTATCTCCTGCTGCTTTACGTTTTCGGGTATCAGGGCGTGATTTTTCAGCGGCTCAGGGTTCAGAACAGACGGTCTTCATTGGATGGTCCTTCGTCTATTCCTTATTCCGGCAGCAAAAGAATCCGTCCTGATGGAGTACTAACAAAAATCGTTCTTCCGAATTATAAACCCCCCTCAATCATAACCTCCTCCCGGGGAGGGCCTTCTGGTGGTGCCCGCAAAAGCCAGGAAAGGGAAAGGCATGGTTTTTGAGGTCCTGTAGATCTGCTGTTTCAGAGTCCCCTGGATTGTAAAGCAAAGCTTTCCCACTGAAGGCCGTGGCTTAGGAAGCTCTGCATTGCGCGCAGTTTCCCTTTCTGCCATGCTGGAAGGGTCGCAGTACATACAGTTTGTCTTTCTCTGCAATAATGGAGCGGTCGTAGTAATTGCAGTTTCTTTGCAATGCTGGAGCGGTCGTAGTAATTACAATTTCTCTCTTTCTGCAATACTGGAGCTGATTCCCACAAAGCTAGGCAAACCGACATCACGTAACTCGCAGCAAAAAAAATTGGCTTTAGGGCGTCGGGCTTTATGATTGAGGGAGTTTATAACTGAGTTCTGGGGGTCGGGTTTTATAATTGAGGGGGGTTTATAATTGTGAGATCAACGTTAAGCCCGGACCTATACATAAGCCATAAACGAAGAGTTTTTCGTCTAGACCGTATAGACCTTAGCATGAAAGTAGATTTCGAGTTGTGTTGGGAGGATGCTGCAGACTCTTTGTATGGAAGATTTCCAGAGCCTTGGGCTCAGGGTTTCGGTGTGGCGTCAGCTACTGGCATGTTTTAGGGTTTAAGGGTGTAGGACAGTGTAGGAGTTTAGGGTTCCAATCAGGGTTAAGGGGTCTGTGGGTCTTGGGTGTAGTGTAGGGATTTACACTTTTTGGCTTGGAGTTTAGGGTACTATAGGGTTTACGGAGTAGCTGATTAGGGTTGAATCCTACACGGTAAGCCCGATGGGCTTAATGAAGACAATCCCTTAAAGCCCTTAAGCTAACCGCAGCCCAGGGCAGGTTCGGCGGACGCTTCTATGCGTTCCTCGCTTGGCGCGCGCGCTGTTCCGTTTCCGGCGCCAGTCTTCGCCATCGTCGCACAGCGGCGGCGACGACGATGTGTAGGGTGTGGAGTCCGCGGGAAATTCAGATCGGACCATCAGGCAGTCTCTTCGACCATTAAAGCAAGTTGAAAGATCATGAATGAAGGTGTGTCTTGCTACTAGTAGTTCATTTTCAAGTTCAGGCTCAGGTAGGTGGGCCGTGGATTTATGAAGGTAGCTGAGACGAATGTGGTAGGGTTCATATATACAGCAGAGCATAAGGTTGGGGCATAAGGTAGGTTGCCAGGAAAACTCCACGAAGTATGTCTAGCCTACAATGTATTCTAGCAGGCCTATAATATGAACCGTTCCTCCGCACGCATTGTGAAAGAGACCCAGAGATGTTTCGGGCGCTGTGCCTTGAACTACGTTTTCTGAATTTTCCATGGGTTAATGGAGTTTAGTCATCGCTTTGGTTTAGGGAGGAGGTTCGAACTCATTGTAGCGATGAGGGAATATATGGTCGCAACGCTCTCATCCACACCCAACACGCTTGTGGTGTTATTGACTTGTTGTAAAACACCATGTTCCTTCGTGGTGTGATTCACTGCGATCGCCACCTGGCGAAAATGTTGTGGGAAGACTCATGATCGAGACAACCAAATCGTGTCATTTTTAGATCCTTTCAACATGACCACATCGGACAGTCAGCCAGAGGCTTCGTTCGGTACTGGTGCTAGACCACATGGCTGAAGGCAAGCACAAGATCGAATTGGGGTCAAGGTTCCCGGCTGCAGGACAGAGAGGCACAGCCTCATGCCTAGAGAAGTAGGTGCCGCAGGTGTCGTCATTGTCATAATCGTCTTTTTCCGTCACCGGATGCATCACAGTGCTGATTTGCAGACTTCCTGCTTCGGCTTCGTATTTCCAGCCCTTATTCAGCCCTTGTGACTTTGACGAGCTGGAATGCTCCAGCATTCTCGGTCGAGTCGTCTCCAATTCTTCGTTTTCCATGCGTAGCTGAAAGTTCTTCCGGCCGATGTAGTCTCACGATTGGAAGATGCAATGGCACAAGCCTGCCTCGCGAAAGGTGTATGTACTTGTCACTCCCCTGACCTAGCAACTGATCTTTGGCGCAAGGGATCTTGAAGTTGCCATCCGCCATAGGCGGATAGATCGTTATAGTTTTCCGGCTACCCCTAAACCCCCAGGTGCCTACTATATAGGGTACTAGAGTTTTTAGGGGCCCTATATAGTAGGTCCCCGGGAGGTTAGGGTGCACAGCTCAGCGAGGCAGGCCAGCTCCCTTCAGTGGGGGCTCGGCTCCTCCTGTTGTCAGAAGGACACAGGGAAGATCGTCGTCGTCGGACTGATATTGGGTGAAACATGTCGATTGGACCAACCACTTGAAATTGCAGCTCAGACCCAGAAATCCATGCAGCAACAAGCTCAGCAGTCAGTTGCGTTGGTTTCGACACTCAGAACTGTAAAGCTTCACCCCAATGACTCCGAACAGCTTGGCAGATGATCAGCTCAGACTTCAGTCCAGTCTCCTATCATTTTGCAAAATATTTTATACCGGTTCCCTCGTAGGTCATGGCTTACGGCCTGTGGCTTGAAAGCCATCGTTCCGTCTCGCTCCATGTTTTCAGCAGAGTTCAGTGCGATCTCCGGAGGAGAGGCCTCTGTCTTCAAAAGACGGGGCTGAGCGAACTCAGTTTGAGATAGAGAGCAGGAGAAGCAAGCCAGTGGTTCATGTGTTGAGAGACTGCTATTCTTAGGGTTTACGGTTTAGGGTTTAGGGACAACCACGTTAAGTCAGCATGAGATGATGATTATGGTAGTGTTGCCAACAGCATGCGCCCACAGCCTGATGATGATGAGGGGGAGGTTGATGCAAAGGCCCCTTGTGAATGACACCAAGGGTCTGTGGTTCTGGTCAGAACAACGGTATCCAGGATATCTTGGAACGAGATACCAGCTGACCATAAAACAACGACATTTGTACACCTCACTGGCGAATGCTGGTTATCCTTATACGAAGGAAGGCATATCACAAACGTTATTCCGTAGGGTTCTTCATTACCACTATATTCCTAATGCACACAAAACCCTATTTCTAATTCATGCTTTTAAAAGCCTCTATATTGGGCTGATGCATGTTTTGTTGTTGTTCCCCTCTTGATTGCGCTTGCTTTCTCCACCCCCCTTGCAACTGCGGAGCAGGGATGAAAACAACTGACGGCAGGTGCTTTCACTTCGCGAAGTCTAAGGCACAGAGCAAAGGTGCATGCAGGATAAGTAATAAGCACGGACGGGATTGCTTTGGACTTGTGTAGAAGCATGGGCTCTAAATTCTTTACTTACAGTTCAGGTTTATACTCGACGACTCACAATACCCAAAGCCCTATAATCCAAGCTAGTACATGCCGATGTTCAAGTTCCCTATAAGGCCTAAGGCCAAATCACTACATCTACGCACGTGTACAGACGCATCGAACTCAGCGATCAGCAGCTAGAGAGCGAGAACCACGATTCCTCCGCTTCTCAAGTTCCTCAAGGTCTTGGGCTGAGAGCCTATAGGGTGTAGGCCATGAGCCTTGAGCCCTGAACCCTCAACCCCGAGCCTTGAACCCTGAGCCCTAAACCCAGAAGCCTCCCCAGAGACTCCAATATCCCTTATTTAAGGAATGTACCTTAAGTCCTTTTAGGGATTCTGCTATATAGTTTAATTGAGGCATATTACTTAATTGTAAGGGATATTGGAGTCTCTGGGTCAAACGCAGGCACAGGGCTTCAAGCCAACCAAGAAGGAGAGCAAGTCGGTCGCCCCAAGGAACTCATTTCGGGCTTCGGCTGTGCAGGGGATTTTTTGTGTGTAGGGGTTCGTTTTTCCAGATGCCGGCTTGTGTCTAAAGAGTCGAGAAGATGCTTCGAGTCTGAAGTTTCCGGTATTCTGGTGCAGTAGCTGTTGGGTCTTGGAGAGACAAATCAAAGGCCTAGATAGTCACTGATCATACTCCTTAGGGTCCAAAGTTGAACTATACTATACAAGTAATGTAATGTACGTATTCAGTTTGAATTCAGGTTTTGGGCTTCCTCCCAGCTTCATCACAATTTGCTGGGCCTCAAACGTTGCGCCGGCAAGGCGACGGAAGTGGGCTTCGGTTCGAGGTGTTAGGTGGACTCGATCCCGCTGGGTCCATAACAAGTGCCATGACTGCAGTAGCTTATGGCACTCTGCAATGCGCGATTGTTGCCCATCAACAGTCTATGGATATGTTTGTTGCATGGTAATACAACACAAGACGCTTTGTGTTTGATTTCTCTAAGGTTTTAGGTGCTGGTGGGAAGCCGTTCCAGGTAAAGCATTGATCGAAGGGCAAAAGGAGAGACCCTAAATGGGATCCCTACTCTATCATGGGCGCTATCATGAGTATATTAAGGTTATATACCTAGGGGTCCTTATTAAGGGTCTCTCCTTCTTACCCTTTGAGTTGAACGGTGCTTCGGCTTAATCGGATCACCGGTCCGACTACAGTGACTACAGCGTAGGCAATGGAAGCTTCATCTAGTAGGACTTCCCACGAGATAAATAAACATTTAGGAGCGTCTCTGGGGAAGATTAACATATCAACAAGTTCGCCATTTCCCATAATCCGCTTGATTTTTGCATCACAGAGCACCATTGTCGCTAATATACGAGTCTTTATCACAGTCATAGGGTTTGTGGACAGATTATTGAAGCATGTTATGAATAGGGCATATGAAGGGACATTTTGTCATTAACATCGATTCACACCACGGACATCCGCTGTCCTCATTTCTTCAATAGAATCAAAAGGCCTCTCTGCAAAAGGGTTCCCTTCACCCGACGGTGAAATAATTAAGACCGAGCCTTCAGCCGTAATTACAATGTTCGTCTCTAGATGCAACGTGTTGCGACGAAATCACGGAAAGTCGGGAGTCATAAGTTGTAGTACTGTAGATTGAGGCCCGAATCATCTGGTCGGTGTTTGGCTGCAGCTGCGCCGCGTTTCTTCACATATCGAGGCGTGGTTTTGGTCGAGACCGGCAAGAGTGAGCTAAAGGCTCAAGTAAACAGGTGCACACAAAGATACTAGCTGTAGTAGTAGCAGTAGTAGTAGTAGTAGTAGTAGCAGCAGCAGCAGCAGTAGTAGTTGTTGTTGTTGTTGTCGCTGATGTTGTCGTCGCTGTTGTTGTTGTTGTTGTCGTTGTTGTTGTTGTTGCTGTTGTTGTACGATTTGAAATGACGTGGAACTTTATGACATGCTATGATTGGGTTTGATATGATAAGGTCATATATGTTTTTGTATGTTTGGTTCATAAGGCAATACATTATAATATAGCATATTGTCTTATGCTACATTATGTTTCATCATGTCATATCATGACATAGTGTGTCTTACTATGTTGGATTATGCTATACTATGCTATATTCCACTATATTCTGATATATTGTGTAATGTCATGGTACGCTACGCTATGTTTCGTCACGGTCTGTAGTGTTATGTCATTTTCTTCTGTCCGACTATATCGTACTGTGTGATATCACATCATTTCCTGCCATATTATCCCATATTAGCGTGTGAATATACATTAGGGCATATTTTATGAAATGATATGGTATGGTGCAATAATGTATGCTATGTTATGGTATTATATAATATGAGCTTGGAAGAGATGAGATGATTTCGTTTTATGCGACATTAGATATTAAACTACCTATTCTATTACAAGCTGTAATATGCGTATATGTCTATACATTTATATTTATGCGGCATTCTTGTTATTGCACTACTATTGCTCTGTAGCCCTCAATTTGTGATGGGTTTGGGGCTGCTTTTCTCGTTAGTCGAAACTACTGCAGATTTGTCCTGTAAAGACCAGGCTTAGCCTGCACTGTAAAGCAAACGCTCAGGCCCTCAGACCCCGAATGCCCGGTCGCCCCCAAGAGCGGGCGACTCAGAAGAAGAGGCATCCTCACATATAAACCCTAAACCCTAAACCCTAATCAGATCCTCTGACGTTCTGAAACTCCCAAGTCCTGCCTTCCAAAGG